CTGGCTTTTTTCTTTTTGCTTATGTGGTGCTGAGGAATCGAACCCAGGGCCTCATGCCTGCAAAGCAAGCGCTCTACCACTGAGCCACCTTCCCAGCCCTTAATGAGATTCTTATATCCAGTTAACCACCAAAAGCCAGAAGTAGATCTGTAATAGAGTGCCATTCTTGAGAAAAAAGCCAAAGGACTGCAGCCAGGCCTTAAGACTCAGTACTGGTACAAAGCCAAACCAAACAAACTCTCCCCATATGGAGGAGAAAACAGCAAAAATGTGGGTGAAGGTGTGGGCCAAGTGGGAAATTGTTACTAGCCTAGCAAATGTAAAGCCATGAGTTCTGCGAGGAGGAGGAGGAGGGGGGGGAGGGGGAAAGGGGAAGAAGGAGGGGGTGGAGGAGGCGGGGGAGGGGGGAGGAGGAGGAGGAGGAGGAGGGAAAAAAAGGAACACTATAAACTATAAGAACAATATGGAAAAAAATTTCAAAATCAATATACCTAAAGAGGGCAGAAAAATACATACTATATTGGCTTCATTTTATAGAATTGTACGAGAGGTAAACTAATGCAGGATAGCAGAAAATTGGTCAATAGTTTCCTGGGGATGGAGAAAGAGGAGATGAGTTGCAAATGAGCCTCAGAAAAACAAAAAGAGCACTGGGATGTGATGCAAATGTTCTTCATCTCAACATTATGGTGGTATTTTCAAGAAAGTATATGACAATCCTGATCAAATGTCACCTTTCAAATATGGTCAGCTTGTTTCAGTTGTACCTCAATAAAAGTGTGGAAACCAGAACAGACCCTGGGAATGTCTTTTGCTTAACAGGGAACATTCAATTTTTCTCTTAATGTATATCAACGGTGTGTGTGTGTGTGTGTGTGTGTGTGTGACACACGTGCATGAACTCAAGAGCCTATGTGCTATCCTTGAACGTTTTTTGCTCAAGGCTACCTCTCTAACACTTGAACCACAGCTCCACTTCCAGCTTTTTTTGGTAGCTCATTGGAGAAAATCGTTTCATGGGTAGTGGCGCTATGGCTCAAGTGGTAGAGAGCTAGCCTTGAGCTGAACAGTGCCCAGGCAGTTCAAGCCCCATAACCAAAAAAGAAAAGAAAAGAAAAAGTTATTGTTTAGTGGTTCTGTGGCTCAAGTGGTAGAGCCCTCGCCTTGAGCTGAAGAGCTCAGGGACAGTGCCCAGGCCCAGAGTTCAAGACCCACAACAAAACAAAACAAACAAAAAAACCCAAAACAAAACAGGGGACCTAGGAACTTTTAGCTAAGTAGTGTAGCTATGACCTAAAACAATCCACATTTACGTATGTTGTGCTTTTCATAATTATTAATAGACTTTTAAAGCTATTTAGGTTTGAACAATAAGTTATTTAATCATCCCATCTCTAAAGAGCTCCTATTTTTAGTGGTTTTAAAACCCTAATCGCGGGCATTAGGACCTAGACAAGGTTTGCGATGACATCATCTGTAGGAAACTAAGACACTCCCTCAACCAGGGTATTGAAGGGCATGCTGTAGATAAATGCACTTCTCACAAACATCCAACTCCCAACTGAAGATTATTTTGGTGACAAACCACCTCTTTCCTTTGATTCCCAAGAAAAGGAAAAGAACCTGCGGTCTAGGAGGGACAGTCACCGCAGTGATACAGAACAGCCCCACCCTGTTCTGCGGAGCCACACACAGTATGGCTGCCACACTCAGCATGGCTACCATAGTTTAAGTGGAGGAAGAGCGCACCGCCCCCTCGCTAGGGAGGCGGGTCCCGGGAAACAAAATGAGCCCCGGTGGACCAATGGGAAGAGGCAGGGGGCGGGGCTATCGTAGACGGCCTCAGATGGTGAGATTGGCTTGTCCGGACAGGTCTTCCAGGGCTGTGGCTGCCACGTTACCTTCTACTTTTGCCGCTGGATTCTGACCCGTGTAGTGCCACCGTCAGAGCTTCCGGGATGAACTCTGGCTGAGCTGATCGGTCGCCGCTCTGTTCAGTGCTTGTCCTTCTCCTTAAATGACAGTCTCAGTCAAAACCCTGGTGACCTCTCCCTATCTTGAGATGAATCATCTCTGTCCCCAACTCCCCAAATAAACTGGTAGCACCAGGTGTGGCCTACAGCATATATATATATATATGAATATGAATATATATGAATATTTTAGAAAACAAATTATTAAAAGTATGCTGGAAATAAAACCCACTATACTACCAACTGGAAACAAATGCAATTAACCTTTGCCATCCTTTTCATATATTTATGCATTTATTTATCTATTTAATTTTAGTTGGGATGGGATTTTAAACTGAGGGCCTTGTACTTGCTAGGCAGGACCTTTACTTGAGGCATTTCTTCAGCTCTTCTGTTTCAACACAATGAAACAAACTATATTAGATATTGTTAGTTGCATCTGTTTTTCTTTCTGCTGTTAATTGGACAGGATGAAGTATTTTGTGGATAAATGTGTCATAATTTTTATATTTCTTAGTTGAGCAGAGTTAGGAATGTAGCTCAGTGGTATAGAGCTTGCCCAAGGCCTTGGGTTTTGCTAATTGAACACTTGAACCCCAAATCACTGCCAGGAAAGCAGATTGGAAGTGGAGCAGACAGGAGAATCAGCTAGAAACTGGCTCTTCTACAACTGCCCTATCCCTTTGTCAGGTTCCACAAGAATTACAAGACTAGGCTGGGAAGGTGGCTCAGTGGTAGAGTGCTTGACTTGCATGCATGAGGCCCTAGGTTTGATTCCTCAGCACCACATAAGCAGAAAAAAGAGAAAGTGGTGCTGTGGCCCTAGTGGTAGAGCATGTGCCTTGAGCTGAAGAGCTGAGGGACAGCACGTAGGCCCAGAGTTCAGGCCCACAACTGACCGGAAAAAAAAAAAAAGTGGAGAAATAGCTATAAAATCAAATTTGCAATTAAAATTAATGATTAAAAAAAAGAATTACAAGACTTTAGAGCTTTTAGGGCCTTATGACCTTAGAATCCCAGAGTGGTACAGTCTGGAGACAATGAGTCAACATTTTGTAATGATAAGGACCTCTGAAGTGGGAGGAAACTTTCACCAAAGTAGGAGTATTAGATAAGCAGTGCCTTCTCAAAAGCTGTGTCTTTTAATCCTTTACCCTGATTAGTCTTACTCAGTCTCTCTCCCTGGAAGAGGTGAGAGGGAGGTAGAGAAAGGAATAAAGAAGGGCCTTGTGTATGTTAGGGAAGTGCTCTGTCATTGAGCTATATCCCTAACCCAAGTTTATTTAAATTTTTTTTTTTTGGTTTGAACTCATAGCTTCATCTTTGCTAGACAAGTACTCTACTACTTGAGCAATGCCATTACTCAAGTCCATATATATTTTTTTAATTTTAATTTTTTATTTAATTAATTTATTTTTTGGTGCCAGTCCTGGGACTTAAACTTTGGGCCTAGCTGCTGTTCTTGAGCTTATTTTACTCAAGGACAACATTCTACTACTTGAGCTGCAGCTCTACTTTTGGCTTTTTTTTTTTAATAGTTTATTGGAGATAAGAGGACCATGGATTTTTCTGCCTA